CAACTTTTAGCACAGCGCCACCAGACGTAGTGAGGGAGATGGCCCTCGTTGGGGCCATTGAGAAGCCAAAGTCTTTACTAACGGAGGACATCGTCAAATCGACGCATCCCAGTGTTCTCAAGACTGTCTATTCCGAGGTTGCAAAAAGCAACGACGCTGTCGACAAGCTTCGGAAGCAAGTCAACCAGATGGGGTCAGACCATCTGATCAAATTCTTGATGCACCTCATCAGGGAAGCACCGCTCGCGGCGGGAACGTTTCTGGATGAAGTTATCTTGCAAACGCCCAGAGTGCGGGAGCAGAGCCGAAACCCCCTCCCGCAAACCGCGGCGATCCAGGAGGACGACCAGATGAACGTCGCTTACGAGCCTTCTAAGACCTGGGATTTTGACTACGAAGACGCGGGATTGATGATGCCTTGGCAGAGCGCTCTCATTTACCAGGGTAGTGGTTCAAATTTGAAGCAGGGGGCATCTGGGAATCCGTGCTGTAACAATGCAGAATTCACTGACGTCAAGGTCTTAGACGTGCAGGGCATAATTAGGTACGAGCTTTTCCTCGAGATGGAGATGCTGAGCTACCAACAGCGGGTCGACTTGTTTCTCCAGTGCACAAGCTTGCAGGCCATCGTGGTCTTCACGTGGAATAAGTGGTCCAGGATGTGGGGAAACCAAAAGGTACCGATACTGCTCCTCCCCAGACTTCTCCCAGGGTGCGGTCTGACCAGTGTTTCGAGGCGAATCCAGCGGTGGTGACGAGGGCCTCCCCGGAGGCCCCCAAAGGGGAAATCCAGGGAAGGGTACAAGTATGGGTACCGTTTCCTCCTCTAAGGATGGTGCACATTGTAGACGTTTCTTGCCTGGTGGCGCAATTTGCAGTCATTTTGCTGTGGTGGGCCACCCTCACCATCGAAGACTCCACAGGATCTATCTATGGTGGACTTCGGCCCCTCCCGCCGTCCTCCTCCTCCTCCTCCTCCTTCTCCTCCTCCTCCTCCTCCTCCTCCTCCTCCTCCTCCTCCTCCCTTCTCCTCCTCCTCCACCTCCTTCCTCCTCCTCGTCCTCAATCCCCTCCCCCTCCTCCTACTCCTCCTCCACCTCCTCCTCTTACCCCCCTCCCCTTTCCCCTCCCCCTCCCCCCCCCTCCCCCCCCTCCTCCTCCTCCTCCTCCTCCTGCTCCTGCTCCTGCTCCTCCTCCTCCTCCTCTTCCTCCTCCAGTGAGATTATAGGCAGGATCCCATTAGGATTGTAGAACTTCCGAGGCTCTTAGAAGAATCTTTAGTCGCCACCGCTGGACGCAAGCTATCCTTTACGCTGCTATCTTTTCATAGCCACTGATCGTAAACATACTGTGGCTCAAGTGCTGAAAAACCCGCTTTGGTAGCGGAGCTGTCAGCTCCACGGGCCACCCCGGTCGGCCGGCCCACCCTCGCGCGCTCATCAGCGCGCGCCCGCGCACCCGCAGGCAGATATTTCCATATCCACTTTCCATACGAGTGGATCAAGTACGGCGAGCGCGCCGACAGCATCACCCACGAGTGGATCAAGTACGGCAAGCACGCCGACAGCATCATCCAGGAATGGATCCAGCACGGCGAGCACGCCGACAGCATTAATCAGGAGTGGATTGCCAACGGCATCCCAGATCACGCGATCACGCATGAAGATCTACGGAACATTTCTATTTCACACCTTTTATTACGCCAGCATGGCGCAGCAGCAGCAGTTCAGTGGAGGCCCTGGAGACAACAATGTACAGCTCGAGGAGTTCACGAAGTTCGTGCCGCCAGGGTGGCGGCCACATATTAGAGGGTACACGTTCAGACGATATTTGCAGAAGCTGAGACCATGGTGGCGAATCACATATGAGGATATATACGAACGCAATGGACCTCTGATCATCTCACGCCTTCAAGGCGCACCATTCACAGCGGCGATGAGCTTCACGATGCATCCAGACGGAATACAACATAGAGGAGATGAGGCCATCGCATTACCACCAGTCTCAGTTAATCCAGCTCTAGGCAATGCAGCAGAACAAGCAGGAGTCCAAGTATTCTTAGAACAGCAACGAGCACTATATGAACGACATGATCAAGGCAGAGTTGGAGTTGTGCTCGACTCGTTTTTCGAGTGTCAACGAGGACATCATCAAGGTTTGCCCACAGGATCTCGAGTTTCGAATTGGCCTTCGAAGACGCGGTCGAGGAAGGAGGCCTCATCATGAATGACACGGGACGCAGTCACTTTCTATTGAAACTATGTGGGCTATCCGAGAAAAGAGTTGACGACTTGAAGTTACACGTCGCAGGCGACCTCACACAGTATCAGACATTTCGCGGATTGATGATGATATTGGGCAAGCAGGACCAGGCAGGTCAACATCACGAATGGGCTTGGTACGGCGAATCAGGTGAAGTTGATGATATCGCGGAAGGAGACGACTGGTACGACGCCTACGATGAGAACAAGTACGAGTGGGGCTATGACGCAGACAGCGGATGGACAGCCACACAAGATGGATAATGGTATTATCAGGAGTACGAGGACATCTGGGCGAAGTATGACACGGGCGGCAACATGACGGAATATCTCGAACCTGATCAGGACGATGACTACACCGAGACCCATTTTGGAGGCAAAAGCAAAGGATGTGGAACATCCCGACAGGGGAAGGGCCGTGGTGGTAGTCGAGGCCGAGGTTTTCGTCGTCGGTTTCCCAAAGGTAAGGGCAAGGGCAAGAACAAGAGCAAAGGAGGAGGTCATGATCGTCAGGGCGGCTCCAGTCAACGACAGGAAGGATGTGAAATTTGCGGTAGTCGTTGGCATGATCGGAATGGTTGCCCAGCAAAAGACAGACACTCCTCCTCATCAGGCTCTGGCCCTTCACCAAGTCCATCCCCGGGCAAGTCGAAAGGAAAAGGCAAGCACTACGCGAGCGTGACCGGATATTTTTCACGAATTCTTGCAGTGTCGTCAACGCCCACCTTGATGGCGACGAGGCCGCCAGGATCATGGATACATGTTGAATCACCATCAACATCGACGGCAAGCACGATACCTGTGGTACGGCAGCTGGAGCAATATCGACTTGATCAAGATCAGGGATTGGTGCCGGAGATAGCAGAGCAGGAAGTACCTGAAGGGGGCGCAGTGGAATTGCTGGACCGTTGGGGCAAAAGTGATTCAGCAAGCAAGAAGGAATATAAATCACCGTTTCTTGGAGACACGACTCCATTCCCAGTGGGGAATAGACAGAGGAAGCCGACGCCACAGGCTTCGAGCTCATCGGCAGCACCACCCTCACTGGCACAGAAATTGAATAAGCAGTATTCCCTCGTGGTCATCGGGAACGGATGCGTGGAGACGAATTCAGCGATGACACATGCCAGTAGTCAGCACGAGGGAGATATTCCGCAGAATCGGAGCAACCTCTTCCTGGAGAAGGGCAACGTCACGACGGTCGAGGCTGACCCCATACCTGGTTCTACATGCAGTGAAAGGACGCCCTAGACATGGACTCACCATTGATCCTGGAGCAGCTGAAGGTCTACTTGGTAGGGAGACGCTCCTGGAATGGAATCGAGATTTGTATCAACCCTGCAATATGAAATTTGAGATCCAGAACTCCAAGGCTACTTTCACGGGCATCAATGGTCAATCAGACGCATCATGTGGTGAGTTCAAGGGACAGGTATGGGTTGATCAGGTATGCAAGATGGCTCGACGTTCCAGGCGGATCTCATCGGTGGCCGTGGAGCTTGGTGTCCCGGACTTCTTCCGAACAGCGCTCTCACGCGGCAGACGGGCATTCTGTGCGAGAACATCTTTGACAACGACGGCGGCATTCCGGCCTTCGTGCCGGATGAGAAAGCACCAACAATGGCACGAGCACTCTTAACATATTCTGGACATTACTTATCGCCCATCGATGTGGATCAGAAACAATCGGAGAAGACGGTGAATCACATGCTAGAGTTGATCGGGCGACGCATCGAGAAACTCCTCGCGACCTTCTCCTACCAGAAGCGTCCTCGAGTTCAGCTGCATGTCACAGGTTCCCGACAGCCGGATCCCGAAGCGCAGAATCAGAGTGAGATATGGACGGCTATTCCGGATACTCACGAGGAACCAGTACCAGTACATGCATCTTATCAGCACTTGGGTGCGAAGGAGTTCTATGATCGATGGAAAAGCTTTGACAGCCCGACGTGCTCAGGTGACTACTGGCCAGACAGTTTCGAGTACGCAGAGCAACGGATCACGTCCCGAGAGCATTAGATCATGGACGAGAAATTCTACAACATGTCCAAGCTACCGGTGATCAGACCCGAACACGTACAAGCATTCCTACGACACATGCGTGGAGTCCACAACAAGACGGTTCTGATGCAAGAGATCTTCGCAGGTACCGCAGGTGTTTCACTGGCCGCATATCGCGGACACTTGATCGCACTGCCACCCATCGATTATAGGTACTGCTGGGACTTGCATCGGAAAGACCATCAACAGTTGTTGCTGGAATTCACAGCAGCTTTCAAACCAGCATTTTCTCTCATGGAATTCTACTGCAGACCCTGGTCGCAGTCGAACAACAACACTGATCCAGCAGATTTGGAGCATCGGCGAGATTATGAACGACCCTTGCTAACATGGACGGTTCAAGAGTACCTTCCTTGCCTGGACAAGCAGAACGGTCAGGTCATCATGGGGAAACCCTCGAGATCCTCCATATGGAAGCACTCGGACATACGACTTGCAGGAGACATTCTGCATCGAGAGATGTTCGACAATGTGACTGATCAGTGTGCTCACGGAGCCTGGAGTCAGGACTTACAGCTACCCATCAGGAAGTGCACTTTTTTCTGGAGTACATCGCGACCTCGAGGAACATCGAGAGCCTGCAAGTGCACGACAGCCCACGCGGAATTTCAAGGACTGATACTAATGGTCGGAAGCGTACCGCATTTGCAGCGGTGTATCCTGTCGGACTTTGCAGATCGTTGATTAAGGACATGGTCAAAATTCTACATGTCAAGAAGACACCCAGGTACTGGAAGTGCAAACGTTGTCAACATGGAGCTGCATCTGGAGTTCCTCATACACGAGTTGACGGATGTCGATTTCGATCTTCCAGACGATCAAGCAGCTGCACCAGCTGCGGGTGGATCAGCAAGTGGAGCATCCATGCAGGTTGCGGCACCGTCCTCAGCGGCAGCATCAGGGGCCCTCGGCCACGCTCCTGCAGTGCCACAACCAGCAGCAGCACCACCTGGTCTACCAGCAGCACCATCACCGCCATTGGCGGCAGAACCGGCAGAACCAGCAGCAGTGGCAGCGGCACCTCGACACGAGGAACCAGAAGCAGCAGTTCCACCACCTCCTCCAGAACCGCATCCACAGGCACAGCCACGACCTCAACAAGCAGATCAAGACAGGAATGCCACGAATATCATCAAGCCTACATTCGATCTGGGAAAGTTTGCCAGGCAGCTGACGCAGGCATCCTCGGACGAAGAACGACTCAAACTCCTCATGGGTATTCATTGCAAGTTCTTCCATCCACCGGACTACGAGGTCGAGCGCATGATAAGAGCACTTGGACTACCAGCACAGATGCGCGAGTTGTGCAAAGGCTTGGCCGAGTACTGCGATACTTGCTTACGTCGTCAACGATCCATGAACAAGCCAGCCATCAAGACGATCGTGGCCTTGCACTTCAATGAACGCGTGCAAGTTGACTTGTTTTTCTTTTTCGAGAAGATCTGGCTCATGATGATCGACGAGTGCATTCGCTATCGTATCTCGTGTTTGCTGGCATCCAAGCAGGGGCAAGACATTCTACGCGCCATCGTTAGTCACTGGATACGCTACTTCGGACCGATGGAGACCCTGGTTACGGATCAGGAAGGTGGGTTGACATCAGATAATGTGGC